GAGACGAGCGAGCAAGCTTCGTCGATGCGGGAGATCGGGGTCGAGCAGTGGCGGGAGACGAGCGAGCAGGTTCTGTCGATGCGGGAGACGGGAGGCGGGGGTCTCTCTCGAGCGAGATCGAGCAACAGCTGGAAATGCGACAAGAAACGGAAAGCGGAGTGGGAGCGACGGGGAAAGGAGAGCTCGGAAGAAGCGAAAAATTCCAATCCGAGAGGAAGCAGACGCTCCTCTCTTTTAGAATCGGAGCGGGAGCCGTTATTTTTGGAACCAAATAATACAATTTCCAAATGCAGGGGCAGAAAATAAATGATTTCCAAATGGAGGGGAGGATTAAATGGAATGCCTTAACACCTGAAATAATCTTAATTAAGACAGAAATAAATAATCCATTCAAATTTTGAAATTTGAATTTCAAAATCAGGTGAGCTGGTGCCTAACCCGTGTTCAGCCCAAGTCCAGCCTGAATCAAACCCGAGCCGGACCTGGGTTGAGCTTGACCTGCGCACCTAAAAATGCATCGATTTCCGTGCGGTTCGCGCGAGTGTGGAACCGCAGCAATATGGGTGTCTTTTCTAGCTAAAATCGACGTTCCGGACGCGTTGGCGCGGTCCGTTTCGTCATCCGGGGTCGTCCGGACGAGTTTGCCGGCGGGCGAGTCAATTTAAGCCAAAATTGCGCGTGATGCAACAAGTGCGTTGTCGAGTCACCGAGGGTTAACCTAAGGTCGTTCGAACCTATAGGAACTCATTTTCAGACCCTCTGCATGTTGGTCCTTAGCCCTTGCAACTAGAAATTGAGTGCTTGGGACCACTCGTGCGAGTTTTCACAAAAATGAGTAAAGAAGCGGTTTGAAGTTCTATGGGAGGTGGGCTCCATTACTAGTCCGCTAGGATGGTCAACCAGGAACTCCTAAGGCTAGATCCTAGGTTCTAAGATTAGGAGGCTAAGACCTCACTAAAAATGAGGTCAACAAAGCCTTCTAAAAGCTTGACTTGAAACCAGTTTCTTAGAATAGCCTAGTGATTTTTTGGAGCGCACAGGAAACACCCTAGAAAATAGGCCAAAGTAAAGTACATATTTACATTACATGCGCTTAAACCATGTTTATTTAAGCTGCTGTTCAACATTTTTAAACTAGTAATGAGGATGGAAATTAAAAATAATGAAAGGTGTCAACTGGAAACCACACTTAAGATAACTAATGCAACACAGAAATATGGCTCGACTAAAATAAAGATTTAAACATACCGTAAATAATATTACATAGTTTGCAATTAATATATGTTTGAGACGCTTGGATCATTGGTTTTTAATCACTTGGTTCTTATTTTGGCTTCTTGTTTACTTAGTTTGGTCCATGAAGCTTGTCTATCTTGCTCATACTTGTCAACCATTTGACTTTTGCTATGTATGTTGCACCGGCGTGGATGTGCACATGAATAAGCATATACATGCCGTAATTTTTCTTCTTATGTACCTGCTCGCCTGATGTTGAAAGACATGAGATAAGGCGAAAGGATGGAGATTAAAAGTATCTACTTTATGTGATCATTGGCCTGAACGTTTTCCTGTTTATCATTGTTTGTTCTTAACCTGGTCTTCTGTTCCTGTGCCCAGGCTATACGGGAATCCTTTATGTGCAAATTCAGCGCAAGTCAATTTCGTCAACTGCCAGCCTCAGTCTATTAACCCAACATCAGGAAGAACTACAAACACTAGAATAACCTGTCAATCCTGCCCCACAGACTCAGATTATGAGTCCAATCCATTATCCCCGATACCATGCATTTGTGCCATCCCACTTAGAGTTGGATTTCGGTTAAAAAGTCCAGGAATTTCAGACTTTCATTCCTATATTGAAGATTTTAGGGTTGATCTATCCTCTCTTTTGGATTTACAGCCATATCAAGTATATTTCCAATTATATACTTGGGAAGTTGGCCCTAGGCTGAATATGTATCTAAATCTATTCCCTGACAAAACTAGTCTATTCAATACAAGTGAAGTGGTACGCCTGAGAAGAATGCTGTCTGGTTGGGAGATTACACTTTCAGACGTTTTTGGGCCTTACGAGCTCCTGAACTTCACGCTGGGATCTTATGCCAATAGTATGTTCTGATTTCTTTTTAATTTAAATTTTGTTGAAATGTTGAATTTATTTTGTTATTTTTTCACCTGTCATGTTAGTATGTTTTATTGTCAAAAAGTTGTTTTTTAATGTTTTGGAAAACTACGTGTACTGTTTCTAAACCCTTTTTTCCAGTCTTTCTTTTTTTTTTCAGTCATGAAACCTGTTGCTTAAGTCATTTCTCAACTCCTAATAGCAGACCTGAGGCTGTACACTAGCTTAGAATCAAAGGATCTGTGGCATTTCTTTTCTTGAAAAACAGAAGTTGTATTGTTAGCAAATTTCATCTTTGAAGAGGTATAATATTTTGGAAGCCATTCCTAGTACACTGAAAGTCGTCTCCATCATGGGTTTGAGAAGGGACTTGTCAAGGAACACTTGATATCACTAAGATGACTTGACATGTTTCAGTTGGAAGTGATTCTCCATTGTCTTCTTCATTCTCTTCTTCTGCCCATCTAGTGCTTAGATGCAAAATTCACAAGCTTGATAGTCTGCCTTGTGATATGTTTTGATCATTTGACAATTAATTTTATTTATATTTCTATATTTTAAATGATGAAATTGCACTTTTAGGAAGGTTGTATGTTGATTTTGTAGGTTGCAACAAGGAATGGATAACAAGAACAAACTTGAACGAATTGGAGATTGGAGCAAAATTCAGCTACTGGGCACCTAGGCGCCAGAATCATGCATAAACCCGAGAGCATGACGCCAAGGCACTAGCCAATGACGCTTAGGCGCTGCGACAGTGGGCGCTTAGGCGTCGCGATAGTGGGCGCTTAGGCGCCGGTTATGCTGTTCCAAAATCGAGAGCTTGGCGCTTAAGCGCCAGCCCTTGCCCTAAACTTAAATCAGCAGTTGGAGCAGTTTTGACTTAGAGACATGAGAAGATCATGGAAATCATGGGGAGAAAATATAAAAACTGGGGAGACGAAGTGGGGAGGGCTGCTTCTGCTTCGTTTCAGTTCTATTTTTTTTCTGCCCTTACAATAACCAAAATTCTGGAAGAACATCTACAGAAGAAGAAAGAAGGTGTGAGAGACTCCAAGGATTTGTTTGGGGCAGCTGCAGCTTATCCAACTTATTCAGATAAGCAGATTATTATGTTAAGCCGCTGATCTGCGGTTGATTCGGATAAGTTGATTGACTGTTTGGTTTGTGCGTTTGGAAAATAGTTGATCTGCAGCTGTTTTTGAAAAATGATCATTCTGCCCCTATGCTGTAGTGCTGTTTGCAACAGAACTGTCATAGCTAGCGAATGTCCCCTACATGATTTACCATATATGAAATTTTCATAACACTGAGTAAAAATAGGATTTAAGAATGCAAAAATACTACTTGAAACCTGATACAAAATAACCCCTTAAAATGCTTGTAATAGGTACTTTTGTATAAAGAAGTGGAATAAAAGCCCAAGGGGAACTCTCGGTAACGTGCGGCTTATAGGAGTGACGAGAGGGATCGCACTACAAGAAGAAGGTAACATGCGGTTTAGGACAGAGTTGATCGGTTTTGGTGCGGGGAATCGCGACAGTGGGAGAAGCGGCGAGGATTGCACGTTGCCGGCGTTGATCTCATAAATGGAGGAGAGGGATCGTGCAAAGGCTTCTAGCGTTTGGTTTGCGTGAAGAGTTCTGTGTTCGACTTGAACAGTTGATTGAGCGGGGCGGCTTTGGAAGTGACGAGGAAGAATTCGCAACACTGTATAGCGGGCGGTATGCGATGGAGACGAAGGAAGAAGGCTCGAGTTTGTTCTTTGGGAGGCTCGACAAAGAGGATATGAGTCTTATATTTGAGTGCAGAGGATGGAACGATCGCAGAAGATTCAAAAGAAGATGGTCGTGGGTCAGCATAGAGAGGGATCATGCAATGGAGGAGAGGGATCGCGCAAAGACTTCTAGCTTTTGGTTTGCGTGAAGAGTTATGTATTCAACTTGAACAATTGATTTTGCGGGGTGGCTTTGGAAGTGACGAGGAAGAATTCACAACACTGTAGAGCAGGCGGTATGCGATGGAGACGAAAGAAGAAGGCTCGGGTTCGTGCTTTGGAAGGCTCGACAGAGAGGATAGGAGCCTTATGTTTGAGTGCAGAGGAAGGACTGATCACAGAAGATACAAAAGAAGATGGTCACGGGTCAACACAAAGAGGGAAGAGTGGCACTGTACAAAGCTTCGTTGAGGGAACAGGGAAGGGAAACTGCAGTTGTTTTGTGTGATTTGTGCGTGACACGAGAAGTGTGACAGGTTAACAGGAGGAAGAAGTTCGGTGAAGGGGGAACATTGAAGTGCATGATATAGTGTGCGAAATTTTGGTGGTGAGCAGGAAGAAGAAAACACCATGAAATTGGAGGAAGATCTTTACCGTTCCATTGCGTGACCTTCAAACAAAAATGGGATGACGAAGAAATGATTGCAAGCGAGACTTTGAGATTTTGTGTGGTTTCGAGGGGACCGAATGAACGCGATAAAGAAGTGGAATTAAAGTAATTAGAATGTATTAGGAGATTTTCTGTGGTTTCAAGCGAACCGAATGAACGCGATAAAGAAGTGGAATGAAAGCAATTCAAATGTATTAGGCTCTTTATTGCGGTCAAGATTCTGATCTCGGCTACGGAAGAAAGGCGACGACCATCACCTTCCCTTTCGCTGGGCATGTCGCGGGAGAAGAAAGGAGAGACAGTGTCACCGCGCTGGTGAGAGTGACGGTCGCGAAGCCATCAAAGCGAGGGAGGGGGACACGGGAGGAAATGTCCCGAGGAACGCAGATGAAAGACGCGGGCCGCAGAATTGATCCTGCGCTCTGCGTTTAATATAAAACTTAAACCTTCGTTTCTCTGCGCAACAAGAACGCACGAAACAAATGCAGAGCCGTCGTTTTCAAAACGCTAATCGCACTTTTAAGCTGCGTCAAACGGGCCCTAAGAGACAACTGCTTATGTTTCCTTTTGTTCTTAATTGTGAAGAAGAGAAATATAAGTTATTTTTTTAGTTTTGTAAAGTATTATTCTCAAGACTCCTGAATTTTGATTTCTCTTTTAATCAAATGAATGTATTGGTGTGTACAAACATATGTAGTGAGTAATCTTCTTTTTTCTTCCTTGAAGTGGGGAAGTAAGATTGATTGGTGTAAAAGTTCTGTTTGTGTTTGAGCAAAATCATTTTCTGGTGTTGATTAACTTTCTGAACTTCATTTAAAATTTATTTTGGCCATATGATTTGATAAAATTGTTGTGAATTATGAGTTTTGGAAGAGATAATAATGGAATCAACAATGTTAATTACATTAGTATATGAGAAGAGGAATATATCTTGTAGGGTGATGCAAATATGTCCCGATGAATGCAGATGGAAGACGCTCGCTGTAGGGTCGATCCCGCGACCCACGTTTAATATAAAACTTAAACCTCCGTTTGCCTACACAACATGAAATGCACGAAACAAACGCAGAGCTGACGTTTTCAAAATGCCAATCACACTTTTAAGCTGCGTCAAACGGACCCTAAGACACAATTGCTTATGTTTCCTTTTGTTCTTAATTGTGAAGAAGAGAAATATAATTTATTTTCTGCAGTTTTGTAATATATTATTTTCAAGACTTTTGTATTTTGATTTCTCTTTTAATCAAATGAATGTATTGGTGTGTACAAACATATGTAGTAAGTAATCTTCCTTTTTCTTCGTTGGAGTGGGGAAGTAAGATTGATTGGTGTAAAAGTTCTATTTGTCTTTGAGCAAAATCATTTTCTAGTGTTGATTAACTTTCTGAACTTCATTTACACTTTGTTTTAGCTATATGATTTGATAAAAATTGTTATGAATTATGAGTCTTAGATGAGATAATAATGGAATCAACTATGTTAATTACATTAGCATATGGGAAGAGGAATATATCTTTTAGGGTGATGCAAATATTGGGGGAGAATGTTTTGATTGGTTTATTAATAGAATTTATGAAAATAAACCTATTGTTTAGTCAAACTTCTTTATACTATCGGAACGAAGTAAAGAAGAGTACTGCTTCCGTTTGTCTCCATGATTTTCTACTAGATACTCTTACATTCAAAAGTCTTATTTGAACCATTTAAGGGGAGAACTTTTAAGTACTTGAAGCCTTTAACTTCTCTGTTGTTAACTTAGGATTACTTTTATAAGATTTACATCAAATTAACATTTCAGACTAGGACTAACAACTGTAAGAGAGAACTTTTCTGTTAGAGTTCATCTCATTGTCTATGGGATCAACAACCGAATTCAAATGCCAGTATTACTGATACGTCAGGTATATTTGCGTGAGCCGCCTGTGCTTTGCAGCACTTGGTGTGTGTCACCTTGCTAGTTAATAATAGTCTTTTAGATTGTTGATAAAATTTTGAATCACAAATTTCTTCTTATTCAACTTCTTTGGCCAAGTTTACTTTTTTGATGCCTCTTATAGGATTAGGTTAGGTTGGTTTTTATATTGGGATGAATTGACTTGATTTGCGCAACATCTTTGGCATCGATTTAGAATTCCTAGGTGTTTAAGTATCGGATTGAGTTGGGGAGAGGCTATAAAATGATGAGGATTATAATATGCGAATTTGGAATGGGATTGATGCAATTTAATGGTTGTCTTGTTTAAAAATGAGGTAAAAAAATAAAACGAAAGTTCCGATGAGGTGCAGTTGCCGAGGGAGTATCCACTACATGTTCTCTTTAAGATACAAATTCAACATTTGAAGATAAATAAGCTATAATTTTCAAATAGGAGAAAACGAGAAAAAAATCTCCAAATGATATAACATAAATCAAAGCAAAAGTATCCAAACTTTTGCTATAAGAAACATATACTTATACGTATCAATTAAACCCAATTTTAATTCAAAAATAAAGGAAACTGTCGATCCCTATGGCCGAGATGTCTTCCAAATCGGGAGATCCAAGTGGGAATTTTCTTTCTATATCACGCTTGGAATGTGATTTATCATTCACGTATCCGTTAGTGAGGAAGCTCACACGTCACTCTCCTTGGGTAGGGTGAGATTCGCCTCTTCTCGAGAAACTTTTGGATTCTCGTAGTACGAAAATAAGTCAAAGACATTAAAAATAGTAATAATGTTGTAATCTCCCTACCGATCAATCTTGTATGCATGTGTTATTAATCTTCTTATTGATTTTGAATGGGCTATCAACTCCAGGCTTGAGCTTCTCAAAAGGACCTACAAAAATTCTTTACTTTTTCAATCCGATCCACACCATGTCATCTTCATTGAAGATCATAGCTTTCCTAATTTTGTTAGCATGTTTCTAATATTTAATGTTTTATTTGGCAATTTATCTCCTCACCTATTTATGTAAGGCTTAAATCTCCTTGACTCAACTATTCAACTGACAATATTGGCACTAATTCTTATGGCGTGGGAGGATTTTGTCAGTATACAACCTCAGAAGGGTAATGCTTGAGCAACTTTTACGAATGTTGAGACAATTCAAGCTCAGATGGGACACATCGCGCCGAAAACTTCTTCTTCTTGTTTTTTTTTATTTTTTGGTGTTTGCTCCTTTTGATCATGAAAGGTTATTTTGACTCACCAAACAAGCTTATTCCATCCATTTTACTAATGAAGTTCATTTGGATTGCTTCGATGGTGTTCGAAGTAAATTAGCTTCTATCTGCAAATTTTTATATTCATCATCTACTATTTATCTTAGTTTTGATCGATTTGACTTGTGAAATATATATATATTGATATCAACAGTAAGATAAATATTTTGAAAATTGGCCATCATATTGAATCGAAAGGAAATGTTTAAGGATCAACAGTTCAATTTGGGCTAAACTTGAGAGTTGAATTGACATAATAATTATTAAAATTATTTTGATATAATTGAAATGATGTAATAATATTTTTCTTAATAAAGTCATATACAATATCTAATTTGGTTGTTTCACCAATTCACTAGTTCAATCGTAGATTCTAGTTTGTTAGACGTGAAACTAGTTTTTGGCTTGGATACGGTTGAATCGGTTGGTTCAAGCCTGCTTTTTAAAAGCTTGTGTAAAATTTGTTTTTTATTGCGAGAAATCTATAAAATTTTTTTGGGTCCCATCTAGATTTTCATGCGCTTTTCACACTTAGAAATGTAAAGACATAAATACTATGAATAGGATCCTGAGAATTTTTTCTTACGTCTTATTGGAAAAAGTTTAAGAAATTGGGATTTATTATCGCCTATTGCAAAATATTCTAAAAACCTAGAACAAATGTATATATTTTCAATTTGCATGTTGGCATGACTATTAATATGATTTTTAATTTGTAGAATCTTATGCCATATGGTTACTTTTGAGCCTTCAAAATTTTCCAATGTATAAATATATATCCAATTTGAGTTTTTGATTCTTCACTAGCACTTATTTAAATTTTGGTATTGTGCTCTACCCCATTCGCAGTTGTTAAGGAAATTGTATCTAGTGAGGTTGTACTAGGTCATTCGAGTAAGCAGTGTTATTTTATTTGACGGATAATCACCATCGGATGGGCTCATGGGTGACTTATGTCTAGCTTCAATGTTTCTTACCTAAACTCTTTGATGGGTACCCTCAGCTTAACTCTCCTTAGTAGAGTTTTTTACACCGCAAGGGGACTTTGTGACTGCTATCCAATCTGAATTTATGTTTGATGCTGATGGCAGGATAGATTAAAATATTTTATTTTCTTAGCATTTTTTATTAATCGCGACCATCTGATGACCCAGTTAGGAAAGTAGATGTTTTAGATTTGACTTGTGTTACAAAAGTAGTAGACCTAAAGAGGCTAGGGCATGTTGTATACAAAATGATCTTAATTTATTAGAATTAAATGAAAATATGACACTCAAATGGGCACAATGGAAAAAATGATTCATGCAGGTGGCCCCACTTAGTGGGGTAAAGGCTTCTTGTCGCTTAGGGTTTTGTATTTGGGAATAAATGGATTTAGTTATATTAGGGTTTTATCATATTTTGTAATTTTTTAATTAGGATTTATTTTCTGTCAAAATTATAGCTGCTAGATTTGTTTGTGACCCTGGATTCTTGCACTATAAATAAAGACCTTTGGAGTTAGATCAAGATATTGGTTAAGTATTGAATGAGATATTGTATTGATGCTGGACAATCTCTTTCTCTCTCTCTCTCTCTCTCATCCTTTGTACCTCTGGATTTAGCAGGTCATTACAATCTCTAAAAGGTATGTTTTCTTATAAGGTTATGCTGGTTTGTCTTAGATATTTATTTGGAATTCATATGTTCCTGTTTCAGTGGATAATTCCATCCTTTGTGGACCCGCTTTTCTTGATACAATAGAATTTATATAATACCTTCTATTTAAAAACTGAGCTTGTAATGTTATAACTGTGTTGCTCTTGATGATTGAGAAGATAAATTTAGAAATAGAAGAAGCTTTTTTCTTTCCAATGAATTGGTAAATTTGATCACTGATAGCTCCAACTTTTTTTGCAGTTGTGCCTGCGGATGTAAAATCAAGTTTGAGTAAGGGTGCTTTAGTGGGCATTGTACTAGGATCAACTGCTGCTGGAGCTGTAATATCTTCCGCTATTGTAATTTTTATCATGCAAAAGCGCTCTAGACGTCGGGTGGATTCCAAAAGGAGAGCGTGTAAGTACAAAGCTGTCTGTAGGAATTACTCTATTTGAATAAAAATCATCCAAACATTTGTTTTATTAAAATATTTCCTGCCATCTCATTCCATGAACACTATCAAATAATATCCTGTGTTTGGGGTTGATAACCCATCATTCATTCATTGGTGAATGAAAAAGATTGAAGCTATTGAGATTATAGTGTTGTTGCAATTTGATGAAAATCAGCTTTTTTATACCTATTCTCTATTCAAGCTCATATACCATGAGTTTTTCATCTTTTATTTTTCTAATTTGTTCATGTAAGCACATGAAATAATCATGTTCTTGGATGAAACGGTCTTGTTTATCATTGCCAAAGGCAATTCTAAAATTCTAAATAGAAATGAATGCGGAGGATCGAAGACAAATTCCAAATATTTGGGAGAAGGCTTATGTAATGATGATGACATCATTTTTAGCTTCAGATTTATACCAATTACTTCACCGCCTTGGTTTTTTAATTGCCAATCATTTCTTTTTTTAAAGTTGCATTTGGCATTTGGTACAGTTTACCTAATCCTTTTTTTAACTCGTTAGCATCTTGTTCTGGCCTTTTTTCCTTCATGGCCTTTTGTTATTAAATTTAGGTAACTAGCTTATTGGTGGATTCTAATCTATTTTCTTAATAACTACCACACAATAAATATCAAGCCATCGTTTCTGTAATTTGGTTGTTTTTTCCCTTGTCTTTTTGTGAAATAAATGAAATCTACATGAATCATCTAGGAATCAATGACTTCAGATAGACAAACATGATATGCAGATTGAAAGAAGTATTAATGGGCTCAAATAATCTCATCAAGCTTGATTCAAAAGCATGACCAAATATGCAACTCTACGGAGATTCAAAAAGGCTCACACTATGTACGCCTTGTTTCACAAACACATTCTAGATTTAATATTCAAATTATATATGTTGATAATATCATTGTTACAAGAGATCAAAGTTTGGATAAAAGTAACTTGAAAAACTATATAGGAAATTAAAATCAAAGAACTTTGTATATCGTGTTTTATCAAAATGAAACTCTTTATGTATAAATCTATTGCCACCATTTCTCAAAGAAATTATGTTTAAGAAGTTTTAGAGAAACTAGTTTAATTGGAAGCAAACCTATCAACACTTTGCATATTTCTAACTTTGCATTGAGTGGTATAAGTATCATTTAGTTTAAGTTGATAAAAGAATATATCAAAGGTTGGTGGGCAAACCACATACTTGACGTTGTCTTTGTTATCGGCAGGATAAGTCAATTCATGAAAGCGCTCATGAAGAGCACATGAATACTGTTATATGGATCATCAAATACATACAAGTAAATCTCAAATATGGGCTTTTATATAAGAAAAGAAAATCCATAATTATGGAAGCCTATATTGATGCTGATCAAATTAGGCCTATAATGGATAAAATGTCTACTTCCATGTTATTGCACATATGTAACCAAATAAAATTACAATAAAATGATGTAGAAATGTCATGCAAAAGCAGAAAAAGATCCTTTACCAATGGGATTAACAAATTAATCTCTCTGCAATTATTTCTATGAAAACTTTAATTAATGATCAGTACTCCTATAATAGTATATTATAACGAAGTTGTTATTGGTATAGCATACAATTCTGCCCAATGTATGAAGATAGGGTGACAGACACTTCAATTAGGGGGAAAAAAATCATGGTGGAGATTTATGTGTCGATATATTTTTTCCTTGGATTAGATGGATGAAGTCCTGACCAAAGGATTGGTTGTACCCCTTTTTGAAAAATTCATTGACAAGTTGTGTTTGTTAGATGTTTACAAACCAGCTAGAGGTAGATTATTGAATGCTGCAGCTGACCCTCTTGCTTAAGTGGCTGGACCGCGCATGATTGCTGGGAATGTTTGATAAACAACAGCTGGCATTTTCTGATGAAGGCAGGACAACCTAAGAATTTTTAAGGGCAGCAAGTTTTAGTTTGCCTTGAAATTCCATCACATATAATTAGTTAGTTTTTGCTTGGATATGTTTATTTCATCTTCGTTTTCTCTGTACAAGCCTCTATATAATTGACCAGATTTTGACCATTGAAGAGCATAGTGTTTCATTTTTTTATCTCCTTATTTTTTTTCAACTTCCCACTATCATACAGTTTTTTGTCCATGCAGCATCAAGAACTACCATTAAATTTTATGATGTCAAGGGCTTTGTGCTTGAAGAGATGAAACGTGCCACAAACAATTTTAACAACTCTAGTTTAGTTGGACACGGGGGATATGGTAATGTATACAAGGGAGTTCTAGAAGATGGTACAATTGTTGCTATTAAGCGAGCACTACATGGATCATTACAAGGATCAAATGAGTTTGCAACAGAAATAGAGTTTTTATCGAGATTACATCATCGAAACCTTGTTTCTTTAGTGGGATATTGCGATGAAGAAGACGAACAGGTATTGTTCTTTTATCTTAACTAATATCTGAATATTTTAATTATACTTCTAAAGATCCTTTTTTTCTTTCTTTATTATTGATTGTTGCATTGAATCGCTGTGATAAGTGTCTATTACAAGTTGATGCTTTGGTTTTATTTCATTAATTCATAGCAGATTTTGTTTATGTGTATTTGTGTAGTGTATCTAATGCATGCATTCAAACAAACTTATAATTGTCTACGTTGTTCAATATCTTTTCATAAACACACTCTTTGATACCCTCCCTCTTTATACGAATACTACACAATACAAATGGAGGTACATAGTAAGGTTTTTGGTAATCTTGTGAGCTTCTCATATGAGCCCCTCTTGGCATGGCGGGGAGTTCTATTTGATACTTCAAATCATTATTTGTATAGGAAACCACCATGAACCCAACCATGCCTTTTTAACATAATGGCTATAAAATATGTCATGATTTGGCTTGATAGTTTATAATTAACCAAGTTAGAAATTACGGTCGAACATTATTAACCATTCTCTTTTTTTCTCTCATAAATAAATGATCATAACTTCTAGTAATAAAATGAGCCACTAAGAAAAACCATAAAATACACTAAACAATAATCAAATCAAACAAAAAAAACATAATTTGAGTGTAAAACAATAGTGCAATTTAACCAATAACAATACACCATTACTTATAAATAAACAGTATAAGAAACTAGAGTCATGACAAACAAACTATTACCTAGTATCAGTAGTCCTTCTATAAACAAAATCTCTCCTATCAGAAATACAATCTAGAGTTCTACATGAAAGAAACTATTAATTTTAACAGTAATTTTACTATCACTTAGTGAGCAATTACAAATTTATTATGCATTAAATTACTATATAAATGTTATGCATGAATGTCCCAAAAAAATGTGCTTCATTAATTAATCAAATTGCAAGCTTTCATTTTAAATTAGTTTTTCATGTTTCAATTTAACTGTTTATCTTTTAAACCTTTTTAAGAAGCCATATTAGGTTCACCATCATACTCGAAGGAATCCTAAAAAAGTTGTGCCAATAGGAGCGCTCAGAAGTTTGTGCCCGTAGGCACTCTCAAAAGTTTATACCCCCGTAGACACACTCAAAATTTTGCATTTGAGGTATACCTTTACCATTTTCTTTTTCTTTTTCGTGCATGGGTACTATAATGTCCTCATCTAATACCATATGTGGGTAAATCCTGACTAACTAAATTCTTTATATTTCATTTCCTTTTCGTCAAATGCATAAAAAGTCATTGAGCAATCATTTACCCTTTCATGTTCCATTTGTTTTTATTTTAAAGATTCTTTAACTTTCAATATATATATATATATATATATATATATATATATAATAAAAAATGCATATACATTTAAGAAAATAATGCAAGGTCTTTTAAAATAAATCATTAATTTAATACAAATAAAAAACAATTACTCATCTGGACCCTTGAATGTCTTTGTCAAATAAGTAAGGGTTCCTACATTACGGACGGATGAGGGTGATGAAGTTAGTCCATGAAACTCATACTAAGATTGGATCTTGGAATATATGTACTCTCACTGGTAAACTAATAGTCTATTGATGTTGTTGTCCAAAATTTGATAGAGTTTGTGGTGTGTGGTGTGGTTTGTGGATCTGTTGGTGTGTGGTGCGGAGGTGGTGGTGTGGTGTGTGGATGTGGTGTGATAGTGTCAGGTGGTTGTATCGTATGAAGGTGGTGGTGTGTGGATGTGTTAATGTGGTGTGGAGTTGGTGGTGTAGGAGAGTTGTGTGGTGTTGAGGATGAGGGGTGTAGTGTGGAGGTGGTGGTATAGGGTGGTTGTGTGATGAGGTGGTGGTGTGTAGTGTGGAGGTAGTGGTGTGGTTTGTGGATGTGTTGGTGTGTGGTGTGGAGGTGTTGATGTGCCTATCCGTGGATGTGTTGTTGTGTTGATGTGCCTGTGCGTGGAGGTGTTGGTGTGAAGGTCATGATGATGATATTGTGGCATTTCGATTTTTCTTTGATATGCGATATTGTGGCTTTCCTATTTACGTTAATTACTTTTTCTAGTGCCAGTAATATAATGGCTAAAATGAATGTGGCAGGTTCATTTATAATGTGGCATAAAGAGACAATTAATATTTTGCCACCTTTGCCTCAAGAAGGTTGATTTGGAAAATAGGTTGACAACCTATTTCAATAAGGAAGGACGACAAAATATTATTAGAAAATTCAAATAAAGTACAAGAAAATATTACGATATGATGCAGTAAAAAACAAGTGGTATTAGTTCAAGAAGGTTTGAAAAATCAGGAAGGAATTGAAGTGAGGATCAATGTGCCTTTGGTGGGATCCGATGAAGCAAACAAATGCTGCTTCCGAATAATGGGCAAAAAGACTTGTGGTGAACATTTCTGAAATGTCCTCTATTTCGGTCAAATTTTAATTTGTTTTCAAATTTAACTACATGTTATATGAATTTGTAGGTGGTGTCTGCTGCAAAAAAAATCTTTAAATACAGTGAAATTGATCCTGATCATGAGTTGGAGAAGTTGGATTATATGTTTTGGGGTGTCGTGATAACCGACAACAATGCATGTGCCCCCTGTGAAATAGGATTTGGTGGCATTCCCAAAAATTTGGGAGCCGACCAATGGGTTATTCCACTGAAGGCCCCAGTCCGGACCACCATGAATTTGAGCACGAGTCACTCTAAGCGTCTACGGGCTAAAAATAGAAAGAAATGAGAGTTACTTTCGTTAGAAACTAGATATCACAGTTGGTGGCTTTATGCAACAATGACCCCAACACATCTCAAGCAACTTTTGTCCAGCAGGTTGTACAAATTCTGAATGCAACTCTAGAATTTTCTGAGGACTTGCCGTTGTATCTATTTTCTATGAAGTTGTTCTAAGATGCGATCTGGAGAGCTTTTCATCGTGATGCCTGCTGACTGTAGGGTGGCTTACCTACAATAATTTTATGAGAGCAGGGATAATTGAGAGATATGCTTTGCATATTTTTATTTTTTTAGTTATACTCGCGTGAGGCGTTTCTATTTATTTATAGTTTTTCATTTTGATTTGGACATTTAAGCTGCTTTAGACATGCCGATTTTCTTATATGTTTTCCATACCTTGTTATACTTTTTATTTATTTCTGTAATGTTATTTGCTTATGTTGATTTTGTTAGTAACCTTTTATGATTGTATCTAATTCATTAATGCTCATGTGTTAGTCATTTCAATACTGAAATACATCGATGTAACTAGAGAAAGATGCAGGAGAGTTGCAGCTGCCGCATACTTGATGTACGAATATTATAACTCATATATTGAGTGTTCCCCTTGCATGATATCCTCATATGTTGGCGACAATTGAGTTAGGAAGTTGCTTGTGGGCCACCTACCGAGATTTAATAATATGTTTTGCATGACACAGGCCATATTCACGGATTTTTTTGGAAGAATTAAACAGATTTCATGGACTTCATGGCTTATCGAGAACGACTTCACCAGAGGTGTTAGCAATAATCCTCTACATATTATCACAGAATGAATCAATGCGATGTGCTATGGAGCGATTTCAACACTCATCTGAAACAATTTGTAGATACTTTTCAGTGGGTTGAATGCACTTGTATTTTTTTCTTCACAAGTCATAAAACCAACAGATCCTACATTCGAACGAACACTCACAGAGATTTCACATTGTATGCAGTATGTGTCATACTTTAAATTAATATCTTCTATTTACTACATTCAATTTTCAAATAAATATCGCAATTACGTAAACCATTGTTATCTTTCTAGAACTGTATTGGAGCAATCGATAGAACCCACGATGCACGCATTCCAAATAATAAGAAGATCACATTCTTCGGCCGTTGTGGATCCCCAACGCAGAATGTCAGCGGTATGCGACTTCAAAATGTATTTCACCTTTGTCATGGCTGATTGGGAGGGCAGTGCACATGACAGTTAAATTTTCAAAGCTGCAATACAGAATAACAAGTACAACTTTCCACATTTATCCACAGGTTCACTTGAAACTTAGTTACTCTTCTAATTCATTTTTCCTCAATACTAATCATGCAATTTACATCAGGTAAATACTATTTGGTTGATGCTCGATATCTGTTGCAGCGAGGGTATCTCAAGTCATATCCTGATACGAGAGACCACCTACCTGACTTTGAGCGAGCTAGCAATGTCACACGGGGCTGGAAAAAAATGTCCAATAAAAGACATTCATCTTTACCCGGTGTCATTGAGAGAATTTTTGGTATTTGGAAGAAAAAATAGGTTATACTTCGCAATGTGCCATTTTACCCATTTCCCAAAAAGGTGCAAATTGTGATTGTCACAATGACTTCCCACAATTATATTCAACGTCATATTTTCCACAACGACATCGACTTTCGTAAAGCAGACGAGAATCATAAGTAGGTCCCTGCCGAGACATATGAGTACTGTCTTGGACAGTTTTTGTCACAGTCTGAATATGATGTTTCCGAGACTTGCACTAAAGATGGGGAAGGTGCAAGCGAGATGACAGAGTGGATGAAATGTGTTATGGATGTGATAGTGCGAGAGTGATTTGAGTATTCATCATATTATTAATTGTAATGGTTGTTGAAGAGATTCACCGTTTATTGTATTTGTATTTTATACAGTTCATGTGTATTTTCGTTCTTTGTGTATTTGATATTTGATTTTTTGGGTTTTTTATGCTGTTTGTAAATGTTTTTTTTTTTTTTTGCATTTATTTTGTTTTTCTTTTGGTGGGTTTTGGAGGTCTATGATGAAACGTTTAACGTTAGGGGTTCTTCTGGATGACGTATTTTGGTGATATGCATAGTGACATGCAAGCTTTGTATTATGTGGGTTAAGGAGATGAGAATAGTATTGATAACTTGAGAGCTCGAACTATTGTGTTCTTTCTGTAATATTGATTGTTTTAATTTTTGCTTTATGTTGCCTTGGTGTTAATATTTGACACTAATTTTAAAAGAATCTTCTGGTTTATGGAAGGTGCTGGTTTTTCCTTAGTGGTGAACATTACATTTTCTTCACTCTGAATACATTTACAGCAATCCTGTTTCACGTGTTTCTCTTGCAGATGCTGATCTATGAGTTCATGCCGAATGGAAATCTGCGAGAAGTTCTTTCAAGTGAGTAGTAAACTGCATGCCCATTTGATCATTTGATTATTTTATTGTTTATAACAGAAACTTTGTAAATATTTGTTAGAATTTGCCAAACCAGTTATTGTGGTAAACTGGCATTGTTGTTTTAACCTTGTTCATTGTTTTCATGCCTATTTTATTATTCCCTGAGATATTTTTTCATTTTAAAATTGGTCGCTGTTTTAATCAATGATTATCATCATGGCTTGCTAATTAACCTGTTTTTGCTTTATTAAGATAGTCATCACTTTATTATTTAGTAGTCTAGGTAGTAATGATTGCTTATGTTTCAAAAGGAGAAAAAACTAGGTTTATTTTACTCTATTTTACTAGTTTTTTTTTCTATGCTCTCTCTAAGAAGGATTTTATTCGAGTAATTCAATAATCCGTTGTGAATCAGTCATAATAGTTCTGTTACCATCAACTGACTGTCATTTTTTGAGCAGGAACTGGGGACATGCTTGACTGATATTTATGATCCTGGTGCATAACTATGAGATTTATGATGATTATGACACGTTACAGAAAACATTAATATTTTATTTAGTGCTCTACCACTCAGCAGCTTGTATAAAATATCACGGCAAACAATACTTTAGTTTCGGCCAGCAACATGCTTTGGCTAACATCTTAGGATGTAGGATTAATAATAGTTGAGTTGAAAAAAGTTGCAAATTTAATGGCATTCTTCTCTCGTTCTCTACTTTTGTTGATTTATGGTTGTCCTAGAATATCAAGGGAATTCAAGAAAAAACCTCAAAAGCTGCCTTTGTTCATCCAAAAATGGATAAGAAAGGTTGAGGTTGATGCAATATCCTGATAGAAATTTGGGTTTTTTTTCAAAATTTAAGAAATAGATAGGAAGAAAAATTATGTACACCTAGTTTTCCATATACGCATGACCAATGGAAAGAGACAAGAAGGGTGAAGTTTCATTCTAAAATTGTTGAATTTCACTTTGTTAAGTTTTTGACATTCTTGCAAAAAAAGCGAATTTTTTGGTTTTGATTTGTAATCAAACTCAAATAATTTTTAAATTTGCAGTTGGGCATTACCCACTCGAAAAAATGAATAATGAAGAAAATGAAACCAAAAAAATTTTACTAACATGATGTAATTTAACTTAAACTAGATACTTGGTTAGTCATGCACATCAGACTTCTTATTCGAGATATCTTATACGAAAAAAATCCTTATATGCTTTATTGAGGCCATCATTATTACTATTAGCTTCATCCCAACTATTTGGGGTTGGCTTAACAATGATTCAATAATATTTGATACTATAGATCATGTAGTTATAAAGTTCTAACATAATTACCTCCAATCTATTGTAGATCATAGTGAGATTCAGGCCAATTTTGAAATTACTCTGCTTGCTGGAGTTTTTGATGAAATTACAACCATTACACTAAAATGCACCTCGCTGTTTAAGAGCTCAGCTTTATTTTACTAAGGGATCTCTCAATCTTCCCAACTTAAGTAATTGATATCCTTTTCAATTTTCTTAACCCATAATTATACACCAGACATATATTTCTATTTTCAGACTAGTGTAATGTTTTGATACTTTTTGTAACAATTTGAACCCTCTTCCATCGATATATTTTTCGCTTTTGCCTAATGTTCTCATGATTTTGTCTCATTGTTGTAACTTTCCAAGAGGTCACCCATCCCATGAGTGCACCCCCCGCACGAACAAGTTTAACTTTAGAGCTTCTAATGAAATTCTAACCATTCAACAAAAGGCATCTCTATGTTAAGAGTTTAGCTTCATTTTACTTTTTTTTGGTTTGATGTGGGGTATGAATGAACACAAAAATTACAAAACATCCAAACTTGACATCAGGAACCTGTAAGAGGCATTTTGTGCTCAAGAAGTAAAGTTGATTTATAGCATTGAAATAGGGAAGTGGGGCATTACAATAACAACAACAACAACAACAGCAAAGCCTTGATCCCACTACGTGGGTTTGAAGTGGGGCATGAATGAACACAAAAATTACAAAACATCCAAACTTGACATCAGGAACCTGTAAGAGGCCTTCTGTGCTCAAGCAGTAAAGTAGACTTATAGCCCTTCAAAATAAGTTTTAAACATGTCTAATCATTTTAGGAAAGATACCCGAAATATTCTCTATTCTAAGTCTTATGAGCTAGGATAGCTCCAATTTTACCACAATATGTAGAAATCAAGATGTCACCTCATTGATCTAGGCATTTTTGTATTGGATTCATGCGTTACATAGACATGATTGACAATTTTCTATCTTGGAAATTTGGCTAGGAATTTTGTTGCCTTAACTTTCATGGAGCTTTCCGTAGGCGGTTTGCAAAGGAATTGATCGCTAAAATTTATCTTATTTGGTTTTTGGAGCTATATTTGGAGATATCCACAAAATGCCCTCCTATCATAGGGTTTTTTTTTGTAAAGATTAAATAAGCAAAGGCATATACTCTTAACTAGGGTTTTGTAAGTCTCAACTTAGGTTTCTCTTTTGATATGATGGTTTTAGGATTGTGGCTTTACTTGGTGGTCGATATTTTGTGTTGCTTTTAACAGAATAATTTTATTGATATGAAAGAGGTTATAAATACAGTTTACATAAATTCTAAAATGGGAAAGGCATGAGTCCCAAATCTCCAAGATTACAATCATCAATTTCTAGTAACTACCTGAAGATAAAAGAATGTCCAACTTGGATTTGAAATCGTCAACTAATATGCAAGGAAGATATTTTGTTAGGTAGAACTTGAAGTCTTCATCCGCAAGGCATTTAGAGATGCTTTTAGTTTACTGCGGTTGTCTTTGACTGCATTTTCTGCATTTCCTCTAGGTAGGTGAAAATCTGCTACAGGTAATGTTACAGAGAAGTTTCCAGGGAAGTAGATAATCTATAAAGAAAGCTGTAGGATATGACCTGCGGAAAAAAGAAAACTTCCGGAGGTAGGTTTGCTGCAGGAAAAGACTCCAAAGGAGGACTTGCTTTAGGAAATGCTCTGGAGGAGGGAATGCAGCAGGAAAAAGTTTTGACAAAGGGCTTGCTGCAGGAAAAAGCTCTGACAAAGGGCTTGTTGCAGGAAAAAGCTCCGAAGGAGGGTCTGCTGTAGGAAAAGCTTCGGAAAAGGGTCTATTATAAGAAAAAGCACTAGAAGGTCTGCTACAGGAACATGCTTCCAGAGGAGGGCCTACTGCATGAACAAGCTTCGGACCTGATGCAGGAAAAAGCTTCGTAGGATAGCCGAAAAAGCTCCGGAGGATGACCTGCTTCATGGAAAAAGCTACAAAAGAGAGTCTGTTGCAAGAAAAAACTTCGGAAGAGTGTCTGCTGCAAAAAAAAAACTCTGAAGGAGGCCTTGCTGCAAGAAAAAGCTTTGGAGGATGTCTGCTGCATGGAAAAGCTCTGGAGGATGTCTGCTGCTTGGAAAAGCTCTGGAGGAGGGATGAATGAATCAGGTTTTCAATGATTACAATCACTTCATAATGAACAACATCATGAGAACGAAGCATAAGAGTAAGTGTTGGAAGAGCATTGCATTCGATTATTTGGTTCTTGTTTATGTCATTTTTTAAAAACTAATGTTCCTTGGGCTATTGGAGCTGCTCTCTGCACCTTCTAATCATTAGATTCTAGCAGTTTAACTTGAGGTGGAATGCCTCTTTCAATTCTAAAAGAGGTTTTAATTGTGGTTTTTTTGTAAGCAATATTTTATATACCATCAACAACCCTCCATATAAGGTTACTGACAACCCCGTGTACGGTGGCCCCTCCTATACCTTCCCAAGGGACCCACGAGAAGAGGTAAGGCGTTAGTATCAACAAATAGTTGTTGATGCTCTTGCTTAACGGTCAGAAGGCCCCAAAAAAGTGCACTCCCTTTCTCCACGTCATGCTTGGAATGACGCTCTCCCCAGCCATCCCCATCCATTTGTGGAGTTGTGAACACTTGCATGTGCCGAACAAGTGCTTGTACATCCCCGTTCTCAACTATCACATTCACAAGCTCCTCGTTCCTTGCAAGGTCGCAGAGGGCATAATTAGCATTTTTAGCGACTCCCCAATTGGATCTCCTCCATGAGAAGCCTCTTTCTAGGACCTCCACCTGATCCCTCACCTGACAGAATAGGATTTCTAAGGAGATCTAGCAGCAGATCTCGTCGGCTTCGCCGTCCTCCAACTCCTCATCCCCTTTAGTCATTGATGATGGAGTGCCGACATCCTTCAGCTTTCTCTTCTGTCCCTTCCATTGTTATGTCGTGGCCAACAACTGGAGTACCAGGAATGTGGAGGGAAAATGTGTCTCTACTAAGGAAAATTGCAAAAAGGGTCCATGTTATAGCACTGTAGGGAATTTGCAGCTTGCAGGATAGGAGTTCCGACAGCTAACAACGTTCCTGGTATCCGCTCCTGCAAGCTGCAAATTCCTACCGGAAGGGGTTCCCTACAGTAAGAGCTAACAACCTTCCTGCAAGCGCTAACAACCTGATACTAACAACTGCTCCGATACTAACAACTGCAAGGAGAGGAGTTCCGACAGCTAGGGACCTTCAGGGAGAGAGATCCGGCTTCTAGTTCCTACCGGAAGGATTTCTCTTCTGTCAGAGATTATGGTTTGTTTCAAGGCTCTGATACAACATAGGTTTTTAGAATTTTGCAGAATAATTTTATTAATATGAATGGGGATACAAATACTGGTTATACGAATTCTAAATTAGAAAAGATATAACACCCATATCTTCAAGATTACAATTAATCAATTTCTGACAACTTACCGGAGATAAAAAGAAAAACATTAAATAAAATTACATAAAAATGGAAATAACCGGAAAAGAAATAAATAACTTCTAACATAAAATAGAAAATAACTGGAATGGAAATAAATCAATACGAATAATTTCTAACATTTTGATTAGTGAACTATTGTTTATGTGAGAGTTTATTGGGGGCTTCTTCATTGTTTTGTTAGAGGGTGTACTTAGGTTTTATGAATGGTGCTGAATTTCTTCTTTGTATGCATGTGACTTCTTTAGTGGATTGGGTTCTCCCTCTCCTTTCTCAGGGACATACCTGTTATTTCTATTTTCTTTTGGGATAGCATTTTCAATGATGACATTTACTTTGAGCTATTTGATACCCAAATGACAGCAATAAGGGCATTTACTTAGTTTTTTTAATTATTTTGGCAGTCTATGTTGTGGTTTGACTCTTACTATTCAAGCTAGATTTTGGCCAACTCTGTTTATTTTGGTAGTCTATGTTGTGGTTTGACTCTTACTATTCAAGCTAGATTTTGGACAACTCTGTTTGGTGTGCTGTAGTGAATCTTTATAAAAGAATGATATTATTTTTAAAAAGGGCGCCCCTTAATCTCCTCCTCCCATTTCTCTCGTTTTTTGTGATTGTGTATTATTTGATGTGGTTGAATAGTTATTATCTAAAATAGTTGGAGGATTGCATGTTTTTTTTAGCTTCTAATCAAGTTTTGAGGGTACCAAATGGTTTACTTGGTATGTATCATCTTTGGTAAGCACATATTTTAATTAGGATACCTATCCATTTTCATTCACCATTTTACTAGTCCACTGAATGCATTAAGCAAAATTTATTGTTAATCGCCTTATTGTATTGCCTGGCCAAGTTTCTATTTCTGAACTTGGACAGTCAAGGGTGAAGAAATTAAAAATAAAATGACAGCTCTGAACGTGCATAATTCATTGGATTCATGAAAGATTCATTTTTCATGAGTGAATTATCTATAAATGTCTCAGACAATTGTTTGGTTATTCATTTGATGAGTTAATTTATCTTTAGTGATCTATTAACCTCTTCAGAAAAGCACCTTTACCATTTTGCTTTTGTCTTTGTTTGTCAGGTGAATCCAAGGAGCCTTTAAATTTTATGATGAGATTACGCATTGCCTTGGAAACTGCTAGAGGCATTCTTTATTTACACACTGAGGCTGATCCTCCTATATTTCACCGTGACATAAAAGCAAGCAACATATTGCTGGACTCTAAGTATACTGCTAAGGTTTCTGATTTTGGAATCTCGCGCCTTGCGCCGGTGCCATATGTCGATGGGGTTTCCTCTGATCATGTATCAACTGTAGTTAGGGGCACTCCGGTAAGCATTTCAGAGGTTCACTTTGCAAATAAATTGATACTGTAGGACATTATCAGTAAGGACAGGTGATAACGGTGGTAAGCAAAAAACAATAGAAAAACTAAATATCATTGTTAAATTCAAATATGAGATTACAACTAAATAAATGGAAATAGGAAGTAGTAACAGCACGGCACACAAACTCACACTATGGTGTGATCTATGGGTGGTGGTGGTCGGCTAGGTAGATTGGAAGGGGTGGTAGGTGACTTGATTGTTTGGAAAACAATGATGCAACAGCGGAGGATTGCTGTCCTCAGTGGCAACAAACAGGAAAAGGTTGGGCTGCGGGGGAAAAAACAGCGGCAAAACAGTGAGATGGGATGGGAGTAGCGGTTTGTGAAGGCTGGGATGGCATGGAACAGCAAGCTGGGCTGGAAGAACAGGAAACTGCAGTTAGAGAAAGCAAAACAGCTGCTATGGGTGGAGGCAATGAGGGGGGTTGTTGGCGGCATTGATGGGGTATGCGGTGAACGGTAGGACAGCAAAGGGTGGCTGTACGGTGCAGCGGTAGCCAGGAAAGGTGGCTGGAAAGTGGGAAATGGCAAGAAAAGAGCTGTTGTGTGGGGCAGCTGCAACAAGGGTAGGCAACAGTGAGTGATGTGTGAAGGATAGGTTAGGGTAGGGAGGAGGTTAATTACCGCCTCAGGAGAGAGATACAGTCGGAGCAGTACTCTGCTCTTAGATACAACCCTAGAAGGGAAATTCAAATATGCCAGCAGTTGTCCCGAATAAACATATATAAAAATTAACCCTAGATTCTCACAAAAGCAAATTGTTAATAATAGAATAACTAGAACTTGACCAAGGAACCGACCAACACTCCACAATAAAGAAAGACAAACTAGTTCAGTTCGGGCATGCAAGGGAATCCGCTTCATGAAGAGTGTGAATTTTGCATTAATAATATAGGAAACAAAACGGTACAAAAGAAAGCTATAAAAGCTACACAAAAGATGCAGTGTATGATTGACACCAGCCTCCACCACACTAAAAAAAGAGGATCGCAAGTGTGAATACCCCAAACAGGAACAAATATGGGCCGCTTTATCACAATCTCTATGCACAAAAAAGAAAAGAACTTGCTTAAAGTTAGTAAGAAATGCTATATCGGGCCTGTTGCCAAGCTGCTTTTGCCAAACTTAGCCTTTATGCTCTCTTGCAAAGAGGACCCGCTTCAGTCGAGGGAGTCCCGCGTCATCTTCAGAAGCGGGACTCACTCATGTCAGTCTTCCGTGGTAGGGGAAGCTCCGAACTCATCTGTCAAAGCTTCTGTCTCTTCATAGTATGACATCTAGTCGGCCACATTAAAGGTGTTGGAACTATTGTAATCTCCCAGTAAATCAATCTTGTTGGCTGTATCATTCCAAAGTATATTCTTATAGAATAAGTATCCATTTTCTTTTGACACAACTTGCGTTGGTGCTATATATATACGTAGATCCTCACAAAATAGCCCTTGAACCATTAAATTTGTAATATGACTCTTCCACTCGTACTTAGTTGCGTGCTTCCAATAAATAAGACTATCTGGAGAAATCGACTCTGGAACGAAATCTACAACAAAATGGACCATTTAATACGTAAATTGTCGGTTATGATATCTGGCAATCCTTTCATTAACGGTTGCCCCTTTTCTTGTATCGGCTCATTGGACTCACTATCTTCTAGAACAACCAAGGCTAATCCATCAGCTGAAAGTTGTGACTCCTCTCTGAAGTCTTCATCTTCTCTTATATCACTGTCTATTTCTTCAACTATCGTGAAAGATATCATTCTCTTGTTTGGGCAATCTGCTTCAATATGCCCAAATCCGTGGCACTTAAAACATTTCTTGGCTGAGATTTATTAGGAGTGCTGGTGTCTCCACCTGCTGTCCTCGCTGAACTAACTTCTCTTCTAGTTGGGTTGGATTGGGTGTCCCATTGGTTGCGTTCTTGATACTTGATTCTAGGGTTAAACTCCATCTGTAAGGAGGCGGTCCTCCGGTTATATTGATGTAATTGGTGATGTACCAATAACGTATCCTGCCTGTAATGTGTGTCTTGTTACTTGAGTTGCATCTCACTTTTAATCTTGGACTATGTTATGATTTTGCTTTTTTCCTCACACTGGCATAGGTGATTCTAATTTTTCCTCCCCCTCAACTCTCTTTCTTTAACTTGATGGCGGCTATCTTTACTATTTTGTTTGGTGGAATATCCTTATATGCAAAAACCCGTTCCACTGCCTGGAGCCGTTCAATGAATTCTTCTGGATCATTGTGACCATCAAAATCTAGTAAATCCACCTTTATTCCCAGATCCCGACATCTTCTCTGATATTCCATCTGAATCTTTGGGGTAGTGGTTCTTCATCTTTTTGCTTTGACGAATCATCGTTGTGGCTACAGATGATCCTTCCAAATTGTCTCTTCTCGAAGGTGGAAAATCTTTATTGCAGTTTGAGGATTTCCCATTGTATATTTTTTTAAGAAAGTTCTTGGACATCGCTTTGCGGGTTTCTCATAAACGACATTGTGTCTTTTTCTTTCGATCAAAGTTCAGACAATTGTCTCGTCGGTGGCATAGCTAGATTTTTTGTTTGAAGCGGTCGAAGGGTGTGTATGAGTGAGCGGAAAAAGGGGAAAAAAATTTTGTGGGGGTTGATTTTTGCTGAGCACCACTCAACCTTTGAATACATCCCTATAAGGGAAAACCAGAGACCTCAGAGGCTGTCCCGAATAAACATACATAAAAAACGAACCCTTGACTCCCTTAAAAGAAAATTTATAATAATATGATAACCTGGAGTGGGCAACCTTTGGATACATCCCTATAAGGGAAAACCAGAGACCTCGGAGGCTGTCCTGAATAAACATACGTAAAAAATAAACCCTTGACTCCCTTAAAAGAAAATTTATAATAATATGATAACTTGAAGTGGGCCAAGGAACAGACCGACACTCCACGACTCCACAATAAAGAAAGGCCTGGATCGCTTGGGTCCAGGCATATAGACGGACCCGCTTCGATTGCAGGAGTCATGCGACCGCTGCGGAAGCGAGAGATGCCCGCGTCAACAAGACTTCATTGTATTCTCTTTCTTGTTGAAATGCACGAGGAAGATTTTCCACATATATACCACTTTACATAAGACCTTGTGCATCCCTTGAATTTTGAATAATTTAGAACATAAATTATGTCTTTTTTTTATTTTTTTTGATAAGATGAAATAAGGAGGCGCCTGAAAGTAGTATGCAAAAATTCTTATGGTATTTATAATTTGCTACCATAGGTATTTTTTTGTCCAGCTTCCTTGCAATTATTAGTAATAATTTCTCGGTGCATTTTTTTGTAATCCCTGTTATGTGGGCGCTTCATTCTTCTTCTTTCATTTCTCATGTGAAGCTTTATTCAAGTCCTTGCTCATTTGTTGGAGTTTTATCATGCAAATTTTGAACCTCATAATTTGTTAAGATGCAGCTGATGCTTTATGATGGAAATCTTTATTGGATTTATTGCTGTAGCTATATTTTGTTTTTAATCATTCCTTTGTGTCATAACTTCTATTTGGAGTTAATTTTTATTTATTTATGAAAATAGCCTCTCTGTTAATGCACTATAAAGTTTGTGCACATCAAACCATCGTCAGAGCTTCATCAACCAAGTTTGCTTTTATTGTCTATTGATATCCTTTATTAGATCCTAACATTAGATTTAGCCAAAAAAATTCTTATCATACTCTTATTTAATTTTCTGGCCTTGCTCTTCTTTTTGTGTTCTAAATTGCAACTTTATGATTTTCTAAAATGCTTATACGCTCAACAAGATTTAATTAAAAGTAGTAATTATTGAGATTGATTTATTATTACTGGTGTTGCGGGAGCTTACCTGTTCACAATATTGTTGTTGCCACAGTACTTGAGACGCGATATTGTAGCCGCTATAGTACCATGATCCAGCCCCACCCCTTTCCTTTTTCTCTTCCCTCCTTTTACTTTTCATTTTCTATGATTCTCCTATTTAATCTTTGTCTATTCTATTCTATTCCTTTTCTATTTATTTCTTATTCCGATCCTTACCTATTCTATTTACTAATCCCTATTATAAATATGTTGTTGGTGTGTTAGGGTTCAGTTTTTTATTATTCCAGATTTCAGTTTGAGGTGTTCTTCCCTTTTGAGGGCTCTATCCGATGACAAAGAGGTGTTCCAGCTGTAACTCGTCCAAGTTGGTGACTGTTTCCAACTGTCCGGGTGATGGTTGTAGCTCGACCCCGACGAGATATTTATCCTTCCAACTCCCCACCGCAACCCATTGTTGTCATCTTTTGGATGTTGTACACCCTCCAAGTTGTTGTCCAGACCGCCGCCGCATCTTCTGACCCCTGTCCACCCACCAAGTTGATGTCCATATCGCTGCCGTTATCTTCTAGGCATTGTCCACCTTCCAGGTTGCTGTCCAGACCGCCGTACTCATCTTTTGGTAGCTGCCCACTCGACGCCCTTCTGGTTCCCTCCGGCACTACCGCTTACCTTTCCTTTTCAGCCAAACCTACCGCCCTTCTTTTGAGAGAGCCTTTTATGTGTTTCTACCGTTTTATTTCTTATTTCGTGTTGTATTCTTGTTGGAGGGGTCGTCGTTGTCATTTGATAGTTTGCATGTTGGTGTTTTTCTATGTTGAGAGTCATTGTTGTATTTTTTTTTTGATTCAGCAATTAAATTGTTGTTTCGTCGTGGTTTAGGTTAACTCTAGTATCAACTAGTATCAATACATATGATTCCCATTTCAACTTGGGGAATCGCAGTTGGTTTGTCATGGAGCAAATTGCTTTTGTCATAATCATTTAGCCATATCTTGCATACCGATCAAGCAAAAACCTGTGTAATCAGGAAAAGCTCTATTTATTTCTTCTTGTTGTGATTAGCTGCTGTTTTTCCTGTTGCTGGAATAATCAGAGCAGTTATAAATGAAATAATACTTCCTGTTAGAGCTCTAGGAACAAGATTTTGTTTCTGTTTACATTTAAGTGTTTCATATTTCTTATGAATCATTGTCGGTTCAGGTCCGATGAGAAAGTTGTGGGAAGATGTCAAGTCATTCGTGAAACTTATTAGATCAATTCATAATTGTATTTACTATCGTATTTGTTGTGTGCATTTAAACTAATATATATTGATAGTTTTCTTTTTTCTTATTTTCTTAAACAGTATGCCTGACTTGTAGCATTAAAATACACTTTCTTGCAGGGCTACTTGGATCCTGAATATTTCTTAACACACAAATTGACAGACAAAAGTGATGTCTATAGCCTTGGCGTTGTATTTCTGGAACTACTGACAGGGATGCAGCCCATTTCATTTGGAAAGAACCTTGTACGGGAGGTAGGCACCCCTATCATCTAAATTTTGCTTCAATGTTACACCTCATCCTTTGGTCATCCAGTAAGCAAGCCATTCTGTTCAACTCCATCGTCTATTTTACACTTTACATAAAGCCCCTGTTAACATCACAATTAGATTTGGCTTATTGCTAAGTGGCTTGCTTCAATTCCCGATCATAAAAAATCAATTAACTTCTCTATTTAAGAATTTTTCAGAAGTTTTTTCACTTTCTGGAATGGACCCATGCTTAAGATAAACTCTAGCTTCATTTGATCTGAAGTTGCCACATGTTTACAAAATTTTTTTTATTAATTACTTCAAAGTCTATTGTTCTGACAGTCATTTTTTATTTTGTTCACTTGTTGGCTTGTACTCGTACACAGGCCATATTGTTTGGGGTGAATTGTGAATTTGGGGTTCTCATAATTGTCAAAATGGAATTTTGAACACATTACTTTTTATGTTTGTGATTATGAGTGAATTGTGGAGTATGTAAACTATATCCTTAAAGAAGTAGGAAATAAATAGAGAAGAGAGAAGATAAAACTAGAAAGAGGATTTATAGTGTTTTGGCTCCAAGCTTATTTCCACTCCTCGTGCTCTTCCAAAAGGATTTCTCCTCTTGGGCTTGCTTTTTGTGATGAGCTGAAAACAGTTACACGACACTTTTATGGCTCAGGAGTACTAAACCACAGCAAATTACACAAACTAAGGATCACAATTATTTCCTAGCTAAGGATGAACCCAAACAATCTTTCTCATAGCTAATGATGTAATTTAGAAACCCAGAATGTTGTGAAGAAGGTGTTAGATATCTCTGGCAGATAAAAACACTACTTAAGGGAGAAGAATAAGAAACACTGCTAAACACTTGGATGCAAGACTAAGAAAACTTTAGAAAATCTGAGAAAACACTTTACGAATACAAGAAGAGCTATATTGCTATTTTCTCTGAAAAGTTTGAAGTCCGTGAACTTAAGAATATCTTCCTTAAGAATTTGGAATGTGCTAGTAAGAGTTCAAATAGGCAGATTGCAAGAGTCTTTTATTGTTGGAAGGATAAAGAGATAATGCTGTACTTGTAGGATTCTGGCGTCTGGGATAAGAAAAGTCCAATCTGAACTGTGGAAATTAGTGACACGGGTGTTTTCCTACAAAAGTTGAATGGGTAAGACTTGAACTGGTTTAGTTGATAGAGGGGGCTTAGCCGGTCCCTCTCATCTTTTCATTAAGCGAAAAATTTCCCAAGTGTATATATTCATTTCCCCCCATACCACTTTTATTTTTATGTGTTTTTAGGTCTTAGGGTTTGGGTTTTCACGTTATTTTTTTTTAAGATTTGTGAGTACAACCACCGACGTCCTTGCTTTCCCTCGAAGGCTGTATCTGACACAAAGGGTAATGCTCCAACTGTATCCCTTGCCCCTGTCGTGGTTGTCTCCAAAACCTTCCCCCACTTCCATTCTTTTGCTCATCCCCAGCTCTCCTGCCCTGTTTTCCTGGTTGCCTTCACCCATCCCGGTTTCTTTCCCTTTCGTCTGCAGCTGCTCTTGTTGTTCTATGCCCCAAATCTCGCTTCCATTTTAAGCCCCCCCTGTTCACCCAGGGATTATCGCAGCACTCCTAAGCCAGCTATCCCCTAAACGCAACCTTCCTATATTTTCTCTACTGTGTCGCACTTCTACCCTCCCACTTCTCAACCCTCATTCCCGCCGTTACTCTGCCAGCCGCAGTCCACAATTCCCTGTAATCCCGCTGAACACCTCTTCCACTACTGCAACCCCTGCTCCCCCCATCAGCTTCCCATAGTCCTATGTTGAGAAATTAGGGTGAAGAGAAACAAAAATCGACACAAATCCAGAAGAACATAAAGATTTAATGAGGTTCGACAAAGATGTCTGCGTCCTCGGGAGCAGAGCGGCAACTTTCTTTCAACTTCTGAAAAAAGTACATAATAGTTCTAGGGTTACAAACAAGCATATATATATATATATAACCCTGGAGTACACTATGTAATTACAAAATTATCCCTGTATCGTACCGCGGGGGCGTTGCCCCCGCACCCCCAACCCACATAAAGTAACTCCCCCAATTGGACAAATGATTCCGCTACGCTCACTCGTTCCACTCCCTTGCCTCGCTCCGTTCCACTCCAATATCTGTCCCTTATCTGGTATATAAGCCATACCTAATAAATCTCCACTTTGGCAAAAATTCAACCCTTTAGGAGAAAAGATACCTGGGAGTTATACATGCACTAACAATTGTGAATATTCAACAAGTCTAAGCAATGCATGAACTTGTTGATAATAACTGGCTTGGTCAGCATATCAGCTGCATTTTCATCAGTATGAACCTTTTGCAACTGTATCTCACCAGAGAATCAATTCTCTGATCTTGTGATACCTAACATCAATATGCTTGTCCTCGCATTGTACACCTGGTTTTTAGCCTAATAAATAGTACTTTGACTATCACAATGCAATTGAACTCCGTCTTGCTCAACACCCAGTTCTTTTACTAGCCCAGTAAGCCATAAGGCTTCTTTATCAACTTCAACTACTGTCATGCATTTAGCTTCAGTTGTAGATAATGCCACAATAGACTGAATTGTAGATTTCCAACCTATATGGCCTCCATCCACCAAGAGTAAACACATACCCAGTTGTAGACCTTCTGCCATCCAAATCACCTGCATAGTCTGAATCCACACACCCCACAACTGAAGGATCATTCTGTTAGTTGCCAAAAATAATTTCATGTTTTACAGTACCCTTCAGATGCGTAAAAAACCACTTGACTGTTTCCCAATGTCGTCTTCCAGGTTTAGACATGTATTTACAGACTTGACTAACATCATGAGTCAAATCAAGACGAGTAAATACAATTGCATACATCAAGCATACATCATGCACAAAACTTACAAAAATCGAGTTTGCAGCTTTTAACACCATGCAACAGATTTCATTTATGCAATTTCACCATCCCATTTTCACTAAGATGACCAAGACGCATGTGTCATAACTTTGTATTATCATCATCTGACTCAACGGAATGAACTTCACCTACAATTGTATTCCCTAACAGTTTGTAGATATTACCTGCAGTTAACTTTCCTTTCATCACAGTCAGTGCACCCTTAAAAATTCTGATTGTTTCTCTATCCTCATCTTCTTTAGGAATAAAATCATTTCTTTGTAGAGTGTCCAAGGAAATCTAATTCTTCTTCAAATCTAGAATATGTTTGACATCACATAATGTTCTAACAGTACCATCATACATCTTAATTTTGATTTCACTAATACTAACAATATTGCGACATCTATCATCACCTAAATAGACTGAGCCAGAATTAGTTCACTTGTATGAAGTAAACCACTCTCTGTTAGATGTTATGTGATAAGAGTATCCTGAATAAAAAAAATCATGCAACCTTTAACTGAGTTGATGAAACCGAAAAAATATCACTATCTCCTCAGTTTGCTTCTTAAGCTTTGGACAATCTCTCTTCATATGAACTGACTCTTTGCACCTATAGCAATGAATCGTCTTTTTGGCTTTAGACTTTGATATGAAATTTCGCCTATTCCTTCCGCTATTCTGATTACTCTTCATGTATAAAATATCAACATGAACCCTCAACTCCAAGAATCCCCACAGCAATATCTGTACCATCCCTTTCCTGCTGTCCATCCAGTAGTCCACCATAACACCTCCCCCTTCCTAGCCAATCACCATCCAACGCCGTCTTCTGCCCCTGCGGGGGGAATTGTTGTCTCCATTTGTCATTTATTTCTTATTTTGAAGAGTCTCATTGTAACTTATTGAAATTTCAGCAGTAATATTTCTATTCTGATTTTTATCGTGGTTTGGGCTTTCCCTCCGGCATTTGGTACACCAGTGGAAGCTTGCCAACCATCCTTTGAATACTTTATTTTTCTTTTTTTTTGGCAGTAGAAGAAAATAACTTTCCAAAAAATGGGCAGAATTGCAACTCTCTCAAATTTTCGTGTCAGTATTGTTGGCTGCTTTTCTGCAAATTTGCTTGACAGAAAGTAGCAAGGTAATGGTATAAACATTAGGCCAATTTCAGTGGGTGATTTTAAGTTCACAACCGACTGTTAAATCATCCAAAATAAAAAATAAAAGCTCTTGGGCTTCAATAAACATTAGGCCAAGTATTTTTGATATTTGTCCATGACTCAACCAATCAATTGTGATGATAATGGTGGAATATGAAGGCAATGTCATGGGAAATCAATTCGAAATATCCTAATTTATTAATCTATTAGCCAAATAGACCATCCCAAATTCCCAATGCATTCTAAACACTAGATCTGTCCTTATAGGCTGTCAATTACCCTTCCGAAGCAAAATGAGAAAAGAATCCCTCAGCAGATCAATATGAGTAATAATACAAGAAATTTGTGTGGAGCTCATATATACACTTATTTTCTTGAAAAATATATAAGATTGATTATAAAATAAAAAAATAAATATACGTAATATGCATTATATACATAATATGCAATATATATATATATATATATATATTGAAAAGGCAAAATTCATTGATAAAAAAAGAGATGATACAAATGTTTTAGTGAGTGGGTACAAAGATCTCACTCACAAGGATTACAAACGCATTCTCCCAAAAATAAAACAAAAAGAAATAACTTCTAATCATGGCGGGTGTAGTCAGTGGATCTACCGCTTCTCCTTCCCCTGGATCTAGGAAGGGAGTCCATCAACATACTAAGATGTGGGTTGGCTTCCTCCTGAAATAATGATACAGTCATTCTGAGAGTTACTGAGATCTGACATTTCTTTCTTCTTCTTCCTAACATTTTTTTCTTCTTCTTCTTGGATTTGTAAACCTGCCAATCATCTGCCAGAGGAAGTCTCGTGTGAACAATAGGTGGATCTTCGATGGAGTAAACTGCTGATCTGCCTCAGCTTGCAGCACACCTTGATCCTAACACTCCTCCATAACATGAGTA